ACGACCTGTGAAATGTTCAGAAATGAAGTTATGCAAAGCTCTACTCTCCACCTTTTATACATGAACGGTTTTGCATATGACATACAATTTTTCTTTCTCTTCTAATCTGACGCTTTGGCTTCCGGTCCAGCACAGAAGCCATCATCAGGGATATTTCACAAACAACGCAACAGACAGTTGGGCCCTAACGGACAGAAAAATTATAAATCAGCTAGTCGTGTAATAAGGAAGGCTCAAATGTATAAAAATTGTAAAATCTTTAGAAGAATGAAGGTACGGGTGATAGTCAGAGGAACGGGGTTGAAGCAAAATAACCATGAGGGTAAAATGTACAATAACGGAAGGTTCACATTACGGATTTACAAGCAGATTATATGTCAAAAAACTGGTATAGTTTTAACACCTCCTTTCTAGTTTAATGAAATATACAGAGACTATTTATCAGTGCGTCCAAACCTGCCCATTTCATTGCTCAGAATGTTAATATATTTATTGTTTACGTTAATATACATTATAAAGAATGCACTACGATCACGGAATATTCAAGTTGATTTCTCCTAATCATCTCTTGATGCCCTTTTATTCGCACTGCGAGAGTCTTGTATTTTTATAGATATAAATTCTGTCACAGCTTAACATTTGGTCGGATAAACGAAATCCGCTTTTTGAGGTTTGTGCGATCTGCAAAACGGACTCTGACTTCGAAGCCATATATTTCCATAGATTAAATGTAAAAGAAAATCGTATGGCATGTACATAAAAACCATAACCAGAATTACTTAAAAATATATAAGAAATCGTGAAGGAATTATCCTAGAGTTCAGTCAGAAGCGATTGAATCACCGCTTATTAGTTGCTTTACATATAGCTGTGATTTGAGGTCATCCTGAATGTAGGTGAGAACAGTAAACAAAGCAAAATATCAGCAACGTTGTAATTCAAATACTCTACATATAGACTCTCGCTGATCCTTTTAAATTAAATAAACTCTCAGTCAGGTCTTAGACAAAAATTAGTGGGAATGATGTCAGAGACACAGCGATATGCTTGCTCAAAATGTATCCTGTTCTAGAAATAATGAAGTTGGTAGTTTTGGCAAGAAAAATCTTTTACAAATTCCCCCAACACTGCCCTGCTCTAGAGCGGTAGAAAGCGATCATTCGAACTATTAGCGAAACAAAGCAGATTGTTATCAATGCCAAAATGGCTCTCAGAAGTGATGTTTCGATGTAACGTCCTTGAGACTTTCCCGCCAAAAACGCATTGTTAGCTCCAATTAGAAATCCAGAATTTTCAGTGATAGACTACTACTGCAGTGATTTCCAACGGAATTAAAAACTTGGGTACTGAGAAACTCCACTGAATTCCTTCTATTTGTTTGAATCGTCGTATAAAAATGATACCTGTGAATTTTTCCTTCAGTATGTCAATAACAGCAGGTTTCAATTGTGATGTGCGCAGATAAAATGGCAAGGAAAATAATCATTCTGCTTTACACGAAGCACAAATCCCGCAATTGAATTTCGTCTGTGAATAGTTTTTTCCGGCTAAAAATCTGCAAAGCAGATAGAATAATTCACTGCATGCAAGAGACAGTTTACTTTACATCTTATTCAATCCTCAAAACAGATTTTATGACGGATTTACTTCGAATCTGAAACAGAAATGATGGAAATGCACAAAAATCCAGTTACTTTATTTTAGAGTTAAGATTAGCACTCAGCAACGAACAAATTTCCCTCCAAAACACAGTAATCACTCGGATACTGTAGTTTCTTGCTCTTACCTAAAATTCAATTTTCAAATCGTACTAGATTTGCAATAGCGATGAGCGGAATCACAGTAAATCGCGATAAAGTGCCAGCAGCTAAAATCTACTGATCTTAACTCTCAATGAAAAATCACGCAACCGCACGAAAAAACAACGATAGGGTGCAAACAGCCACGTGACGACGCCATATTGATCACGTGCTTTAAACTGTCTGATATTCAGGTTTTATTTAAATTTAAATTATATCACACTTACTGTTACGTACACGAATGTTTGTCTACACAATATTGCAGATCCGGTGTCGCGTTGCATTAAATGGTTCGGCAGAAAAATTAAGAAGGCTGTTAAAACATTTAATTAGCCTTCGATAATCATTAGCTTCTGGCTATAAATTAGTGATAATAGTGAAACACTGACAAAATATTAGCAGGGTTGTTTTACACAGTCTAAAAGAACTAAAATTTCCGCGCCATTTGAATGTCGCATCCGTAATTCTACTCAACAGAAATGGGGGCAAATAGGTTTCAAAACACTACAGGCGGATCAGCTTGTTGTCAGTCTTCCATGAGATCTTCAAGAACGCCATGACAAAAACTTAAGGAAACTTGGACACCACAAGTCGCAGGAATTCAGAAGTGGATTTCGTCTAATAAAACATTTTCAAGTAGTGCAACAAGTAATTTTGAAAGGCAACGAATATTCATCAGCTTTCTACCCAGGTTACCTCGGTTCTTCATTCCATGAGAAATCACGGAATCTGAAAAAATGCAGTCATCCTATGATTTACAAGAATTACCAGTGATGGGAAATAGGAGGAAAAAGCCTATCGGCGGAACGAAAAACGAAGAATCTATGATACAAGCAGCGGGCTGAAATGTGCTTTGTGAAACGAATTGCTGGGCTCACTTGTCAAGAAATGTTCCGGATTTCGAATATTTGCAGCCACTGCTTCTCTAAATTTAAAAGCTGCGATGGTTTGGGAACGTCTTGTAGATTCTTCAAAGAAGTAGGCCACACATAAAATACCTGCTCAACTTATCAACGAAATACAACGAAGACTGCCATGAGTACAATTAGATCAGAGTCTCTTCAGACTCTGATCCAGATTAGAGTTGTCTTGTGCCGAAGTTCAAACTTTGGCAGAGGACAAGGAATGTGCAAAACAGTATCCATTGCGTCTCCTAGCGCGATCTGAAAGGAAATGCGGTAATTGAAACTGACTGATACTATGCATGCTAGTCGATGAAAATGGGAAGAAACATGTCAAACAATGCTAGAAACATATATTATGTTTAGGCTCTCACTGAAAATCATTGCATGAGGGAGGCGCATTATTATTATCAGACCATACCAGTACCTTAGAAAATAAATGAGCATTCACGTCTGTCACATGTTGGTACTCAACTGTCTAACCAAGGAAGTAGGAAGTGAACTTTAGCTTTTCCTTTGTTTGGTCCTTTGCAAATGGTGGTCATGCAAGTCCTAATTTAGCTGAAGGCAACCGGTCGAATTAGAACAACAGAAAACGGAACAAATTACTCTAAGGTTTAGCGCATTATGACGTACCAACACTTGCTTTGTATTCTACGAAACAAAGCAGCAACCAACCACTTTACTATGACTACGCAGTTCAGCATTTCTCATGATTTCATCATGTTCAGCGACCAGTCATTGCACAAAGTGTCCAGTCTAATCGTTCTGTTAAGAAACATTCAAGTTGCTATACAAGAGTGATAAAAAGTTAGAAATACTTCATAATGAGCTTCAGCGGCAGCTACTAAGCATGAAATACAGCGGTTTTGACGCAATCGCGTAAGCAAAGGAGCATCGATTAACATGGAGCAATATAGCTGCGGCAGCAAACAGCTATAGTCCATCTCAGTGAGCAGAATAGTTCCCAGTAACCGATGAGATAAACGCTAGAAATACTAACAGCAGAACGACAGAGCTACTTCATCAAAGCGAATCCTGCTATGTCGACAAGTTTACAATGACAGGCGAAAAATTTTGATTTACATTTGAAGCACAATGTCCTTGGATATGCATATTTACTCTAAATATGAAGCTATATTGCCACCGGATCAGATTTTGGTGAAAAAGATAGGCGGAGTTAGCATGAGAATTTTTATCACACGAGAATATACGAGCAATAATCAGACAAGCAAGTTTTATACCTTTAAACTCAGACTGGTTATTTCATATAACTTCTTTTGCTTTGTTCATTTATGAGCCAATTCGCACTAGCTAACCAGCCATAAGGCATTTTCGTTCCTAAAGTGTTGAAAAACGGACTCGGTTCTTTCTAATGTGCATGATTTGTGGGGACTGAGCCGGTATATCGCTTCTGTAAGCAGTACGCGCTTTCGGTCGTTAGTGCAGTGAGAAAACCGGTCATTTTTGTATGCAACGCCTTTGTATTGTGCGGTTGTGCAGAAATAGAGGCATCCAGTCATTTCTGCAAGTGACCAACACTTACCACCGTTCAATGGTTTGCGCTTGATCAGAGCTGGTTGCTTCAGAATCATGGAAGTGTATGTAGTGCTTGATGTATACAAGTAATAACTGACGTGAACATGCGTAAGGTTAACATAAAAGTAGCATTTTCTTAATATGGGAACAAAATCACCTTCCATACTTATTCATTTCGCTTTTCACTTCGACAGGATGTCAAATTTGAAAAGAAATCAGTTCATTCGAAGAAATATTTCTGCGCTGGCTGGACAAGCTTCAGAATAACAAATCAAGATTGTGTTGACTTCGATTCATTGTTTCAAGATGATATATCACAAATCTGGTGATCTTAACATTTGACCAGGATGCAAATTTGCCACCTCACCAGGCGAACGCTCTAGTCAAAGTCACAGGGAAGTCGGTTGGCTAAGGATTCAACAGAGATACACATGGTTCGACTGCTTCCAGTACCGTTAAATAACGCAATCAGAGGATTACCTAGCGGAGCATTAGGACGACTAGTAAGACTGTTTCAAGATGTTAATACTGTAAGCTAAAGGAATACCGGGCTCTGAAACACAATGAATGGCCATTGGCTTTATGCCGTAAAGTAAGTGACAATCGCCTGAATGACGCGTAGCTATACCTTTAGTCGTAAGCAACGGATAATGAGAAAGTGAAAGTGATAATTAATGTTAAAATGTTTAATGCAACAAAACAAGAAAACAAACAACTAAAGGCAACAAAATCAGTAAACGCAAAAATAATTCAACGATAGCTTCATAACTCTGATTTCTTAAAGGACACTACAGCATTCTGCTTGAGAAAATTTATGAAATCTTCAACCTTTCGTTCTCCTGAGTAGCTAATGGGCTTTTCTTTCTTACCAGACGGTGCGAAGTAAATCGTCGGAAAACCATTTACGGAGTACTCAACCGGACTGTCGTTGTCGATGGCATTCATCTTGGCAATGACCAAATTGGCATCAGAACGCAACTGGGTAGCCAGTTCCTTGTACACCGGCTCCAAAGCCTAAGTCAAACAGAAGATGAACAAATGCCAGCAAATGATCAAATCAAGCATACCTTGCAATGACCACACCAAGGCGCGTACAGTTCAATCAGAACGTCCTTAGTTTCGTCGAGAACGATCTTCCTGAATGTCGAACCAACAACCGTTTTGACCGGTCCAGCATCAAACTGTGGAACAGGTTCCGATTTTATGTACAGCTTCACGTTGCCTAAAACAGACATCATTATACCAGAATAATGAAACAAACGGGCATAGAAACAATGAATTTCTTTTTTCAAAAACTAAACGACAGGGCATCGAAAATAGTCGTTTTTGCATGGTCACTCTGTAATTCCCCAAGATTCATTTGTTTACAGGACTGCAGGAAAACGATTGACAGCTCAGCTTTTCAGCAACTTTACCAAAATGTAACGATATCACCCAGTGTCTGGACGACACTTGCCCGGTTTCAGCGCAGACCTGAACTGTTCAGGAGCTGTAGTGCAAAGGCCATGGTCAATCGGTTTGCCAAACAGGGTTTTCCTAGTTCGCTCATCGCGTAGATATTTAGGCCTGAAAGAGTAGAGATGGAAATATTCCTTGCATTTTCAAGCCATTTCATTCATAAGAATGGAAACAAACAAACAAATTTAACTCCGCCATGGCCGGTCCCAAGCCCGGATGAGAAAGGAGGAGGGTTGGAGACCGTGGCAAGT